ATGCATAATAGTGCTATGCTATAAATGAAATTTATCATGAAATTATGAGGTACAAAAAATGGAAAAATGATGGAAAAAAAGTGTCCCAGTATAACTGAAAATAAAAAAAACTTTTACGGAGAAAAGTTTGAACGAATCTTCTTGCTCCATTGTGTCCAGTGTTTCATCACAAATCGATCAACACCAAAGTAGTTCACTACTTTGTAGATGATGAAAGCATAGAGAACACACATTAAAAGATGGATGAATGTCAGAATGTAAGGATGATCAACGAGATAATTTGACAGCTTCATGGATTTTTCTGTATCGAAAGTTGTTCCATGGAATTTCATTGATGTTTGCTAGAAAGTAACCCATTTAGTTTTCTTAATATTTAGATTACCTATGCCAATCCTTTCCCAATTAATTTGTTATTAGATATGCAACAAAACTTCTAACCTTATTTTTGAGAAAAAAATCTTGTCATCTACTGATTTTTTAAAATATAAGTTTATTGGAATAAAAATCAACTTCCTACTACATTCAGATCTCTTAATTTTCACTAGAACGCGTAAAGATAGACAAGGAAAGAAGGTCAGTCCTAAAAGTGCTTTCTGGAAATTTTTCAAAGAATACCATCATTCTGATTTATTTACAAGTACTGTTAATAAAGAAACTCATAGCACTTGACTAGTATCCATCGTTATTTAAACTACAAAAAAGAGAACCACAACAGTATTCGCAAATAGTCAATAAGTACCAAAGAATGATTTTCAGGTGGAACCGAATTTTCTTTGACAACATTGCCAACTGAACGACGTACAGTATTCGGTAACACCTTATCAACTGAATCAGTTTTAACGATTTGAGATGTCTAAAAGGAATTACATGATGGACACACTTGGCAGCAAAATTTTTTGTACTCTTATTATTTTGCCTAATGGAAATATTATTGATAATAACATTTATCAATTTCTCATCATTTAAGCTATGCAACTTACAACTTACAAGATCTTAGTTTTATAGGATGCGACAGCAAACCTAAGATCATTAATAAAATTCATGCATTATTTAACTCTATATTATTCAAGGAAGCATGAATTTCCTAGAAAATCTGATCAAGATTCGAGAAAAGAGCATACCAAACTTCTAGGAGGTGTAGAACGACGTGAATAGCGATTACGTGATCGTGATCGCGAACTACGTCTTAAATTCTTCTTCTTCACCAAAGGTGTTCCTTGAGACACAGTGCTTTTTTTTGCTGGTATCTGCGTCATCTTTAGAAAAAGTTTTATTTTGCATCAAAAAGGGAATTATGCAATAGAGCTTAACAAATCACAAAAGTAAAATTAGCGCTATAACAAATATTAGTTATAAGACGAGATGTATGCGATGATGCACGTAAAAATAAGGAACAAAATGATAATACCGGCTATTTTCATGATACAATTTATTTCGCGTGCTCAGAAATCCAATAATAATAACTCTTCATTACTACTGATGATGTCCCACTTTTTAAAAAAAATATGATTTGCCTCAATAATCCAATTAAATCAGATCCTATTGATATTGTCTATCATTCCGGTCAGTAAGCTGTCATTCCCAAAAGACCCTCCCAATCAAATCATCATGCCCATTTATTTATCTCTTCCACAAATCCTACCAAGTTTAAACATCTTTTTGCAGCACAAGATCAGAAAACAGCGTTTTTACATGCAGTGAAACCATTAACCGATTAGCTTCAGTTACCGCGAAATCATTAATTCATTACAAAAAAATAGCAAAGCATTCTCATTATTATTATAACGATAATTTGAAATTATACCGAGGCAAATGAATGAATTCAAAAGTGATATTACATTCTTGATAAAAGATAGCGCTAAATAGATTATATGGAAATAGTTTGTACTACGATCTTTATTACACCAATAGAGATGATGTAAGGAATAAATCGATCGTTAAAGAACAGTGGACGACTCTGATCGACAGCGAAATGTCACTGTGTGGTTATTGTTCTTTAGGATATGGAAATCTCGACCCATCTCTCCACCCTTTAACAGCTGTCTACCAATGGATACTTTGGTTCACCATATAATAAGGGAGATATTCCTATCGTTTATCAATCATCTGATTCTCTATTTCACAAACTTATCGGAATTCATAGCTCTTTCAAATGTATCCCAATCATTTGCTCGCTTTGTTAACTTTTCACCTCATGTTTGTTTTTCATAAATAATGCTTTAAAAAATGATTATTCGTAAAAAGTGTAATGCTGGACATATTCGGTTTAAAGAGATATTCCAGAATTTGCAGTTTCCGATTTCGGAAGAATTTTTATGTGGTTAAGAAAGAAAAGCTGAGTAAACCTTTTCGTCAACAAACAAAAATGGAAAAAAGTCATTTACTTAATGAGGAATTTGGAGAATGAGGTTGATAAGAGTAAAAAAACACTAAAATAAAAGCCAGGATAGGGACTTATAATGTCTCTTTCATTCGAGGCTTGTTGAAACACATTTAACTTACTTTTTGCTCGTCATTTCCAAGGTTCAGTGAAAGAGTCGATGATGGCTTGATGCGATCCGATCCAAACAAAGTATTCTTCAAATTTTAAAGTGAGGAGAATCTCAGTATTTCAAGACTTAAAAGTTGTAAAATTCAAACTACAAAAATCATGCAATTATTTGAGCAAAATAAAGTGTCATGTGCTTTGCATAATAAAAAAGGAACACAATCTTAAAATATCAAACAGCAAATAAGTAACCTTTATCTGATTCGCCGATTTCCTGGGAGATACTTCCAGTTTTGGTGTTAATGAATTCAGAGGGTCATCTCTCATTCGTGCTGAACGTGTCATTTTATAGATGCTCATCTTTTAAGTTCAATACTTTCTTGTGTATTGTCAAGAAGTGATTTTCAGATGCAAAATTAAAGATAAAGAAATATGGTAAACCCTTAAAATAAAAGCAAGGGATAAAAATTAATGCACGGTAAACGGTACACAACATGGATTACTACGAACAACCGAAAAGTTTCACGGGTAGTAAACGAAATACGTAAATGAAATACTCACTGAATATAATAAAAAATCACATTATAAATATCTATTGAAAGCCCAATCAATGAACTATAATAGACAGGTGAAAATTCTCCGACCTTCGGTAACATTAGAAAAAAAAGAACCGTTCAACTTATCTGATACAGATTACCATCAAACAAATCATCATGTCCATGTAATCCAAATATCATGAGGTCATCTGTGAAGGTATCCTTGTCAATTATTCGAAAAATTTTTTCTAAAGGCTAATTTAATTAGCAGAGATCACAGTAAACAGAAAAAAAAATTAGGAAAAGAGTCAGAGTATTTTTGTTTTTCTAGCAGTGATTGAAAGATATTAACTATAGAGAGAGAGAGAGAGAGAGAGAGAGAGAGAG